GATGTTCATGTGTCCACGGTAAGACAGACTGTCTACAAATGGAGAAAGTTTAGCACTGTTGCTAAATAATAAATAATAAGGGATCCTCCTGCGCTCATGGGAATAATTGACAAAATACAGCTGCTGTCACTTAGCTGATACCAATAAGTGCAAAATAAAATTAAAAATTAGTGAAGCGCTTGTATCACATGAATACAATCATGTATCTCCATATAGTGTAATTATAAATCAAAGTGACCACTATATATAATAAATGTGTGTTGACTCCCTCTAGTGAAAAGAATGATGAAGTCACGACGCACGTGACGCTACGCGTCGGTTTTGTCTACTTCCTGGTGACGTATGTCCGGACACAGTGGCCATATTGGATTCCCCCAGGTGCATGCATATCTACCCACAGGCTGGGAAAAACGCTTTTTTATGGAAAGGAGCATGTGAGTGGAAAACTTTGTAATTTTTAACTTTGCCTATTAAATTTACTACACTATGGAAGGCTTTCTTGTCTTTTTATGAGTTGCATAAGAGAGGAGGAGGAATAAGGAGTCTGCCAGAGGAATACACCACTGAGGTGGTAACTGCTTTGAGGCCCTGTGTGGGTCGAGGAAGGGAGGTGAGCAGGCATTGCTGCCATTTGAAGGAGAGTACTTGCACTTAGAAGTGGAGATCACGTGTGTGTTCCAGCTTAAAGCACAGTCACATGCATGGAATATTTTTTTCACCTTTGATATTGTCTTGTTCACCTATGGCATATATCATTTATGTATAATTTAGACACCATTGTATGTGGCCAATATTCTGTTTTCACGTATATATATTCTGTTCATTATATTTGATTTATGCACTATATATTTAGTTTCCTAATGTGTGTTTATTTAGCTATTTTGGTTGACACTATTTTTTCTTTTCACTAGAGGGAGTCAACACACATTTATTATATATAGTGGTCACTTTGATTTATAATTACACTATATGGAGATACATGATTGTATTCATGTGATACAAGCGCTTCACTAATTTTTAATTTTATTTAGCACTGTTGCTACTCTCCCTAGGCGTGGTCGTCCTGTAAAAATGACTGCAAGAGCACAGCGCAGAATGCTGCATGAGGTAAAGAAGAATCCCAGAGTGTCAGCTAAAGACCTACAGAAATCTCTGGCACATGCTAACATTTTTGTTGACACATCTACAATAAGGAAAACATGAAACAAGAATGGAGTACATGGGAGGACACCACGGAGGAAGCCATTGCTGTCCAAAAAGAAGATTGCAGCACGTTTGAAGTTTGCAAAAGAGCACCTGGATGTTCCACAGCACTACTGGCAGAATATACTGTGGACAGATGAAACCAAGATTGAGTTGTTTGGGAAGAACACACAACACTATGTGTGGAGAAAAAAAGGCCCAGCACACCAACATCAAAACCTCATCCCCACTGTAAAACATGGCGGAGGGAGCATCATGGTTTGGGGCTGCTTTGCTGCCTCAGGGCCTGGACAGATTGTTGTCATTGATGGGAAAATGAATTCCAGAGTTTATCAAGACATTTTGCAGGAAAACGTACGACCATCTGTCCGCCAACTGAAGGTCCGCAGAGGATGGGTGATGCAACAGGACAATGACCCAAAGCATACAAGTCATTCAACAAAACAATGGCTGCAACAGCACAGAATACGCCTTCTGGAGTGGCCCAGTCAGAGTCCTGACCTCAACCCGATTGAAATGCTGTGGCATGACCTTAAGAGAGCGATTCACACCAGACATCCCAAGAATATTGCTACACTGAAACAGTTTTGTGAAGAGGAGTGGTCCAAAATGACTCCAGATCGTTGTGCAGGTCTGATCTGCAACTACAGGAAACGTTTGGTTGAGGTTATTGCTGCCAAAGGAGGGTCAACCAGTTATTAAGTCCAAAGGTTCACATACTTTTTCCTCCCTGCACTGTGAATGTTTACATGTTATGTGCAATTAAACCATGGCAACATCTAATGTTTGTGTAGTATTATGTTCAGCAGACTGTGTTCTTCTATTGTTGTGACTTAGATGACGTTCAGAGCACATTTTATGCCCAATTCATGCAAAACTCCACGTAATCCCAAGGGGTTCACATACTTTTTCTTGCAACTGTAAATAGGGGCTTTTCAGTGCACCAATAGATAGGTTTGGGGAAAGATCACCAAGATGTACCCATTACTCTGTCCTATCTGGAGGGCCCGATTAGGTTTCCCTATGAGGTCTGGAGCCTAGGACTTACTTGGAGTTATAGCTGCCAATCGTGGATTACTGCCCATGGAGTTTCAGGGATTACTTACTACCTCTTGTGGATTTACTGCCTTAACCCTTTGAGGACCAAGGGACGTATTTGTCCCATGTTTTTAATTTATCATCTGATTAAGAACTTAAAACTCTTTTTTTTTTTTGGTTTGAGTCAAAATATTAGTTCTTATCAACAAACAACAAATGGATCTAGCTTTTTGCCATTTATTTCATGAAATGGCTTAGTTACAGCAACTGAAGTGTACGAACTTTAAAAACAAAAAAATTATTCTTTTGGCATTCCAAAATCTTACGATCCTCAAAGGGTTAATGGTTGACACATAAGATAGCAGGTAAATACCAAAAGTTGACATTCTGCAGATCTCTGCTATGGTGACCTCTGCTATGGTGACCTCTGCTATGGTGACCTCTGCTATGGTGACCTCTGCTATGGTGATCTCTGCTATGGTGACCTCTGCTATGGTGATCTCTGCTATGGTGACCTCTGCTATGGTGATCTCTGCTATGGTGATCTCTGCTATGGTGATCTTTTGCTGGCTGATTGCAAATACTGTACATCTCCTTAAAAAACATGAAAAAATGAAAGGAAGACTTTGAAAACCCATCAGGTCTCAATGGGGAGGAATCTCCTGCTGGATCTCTATACTGACATGGACGGGGGATGGGTGAGGAACGTAAGGACATCCCATCGTTTGATGGAAATGATCGACCTACAGAGGACTGAATTCAAAGACACCCCGAAAATCAAAGTGAAGAAATGATGCAGCAGGCGAGTCCATTCTACTGAAATGTCATTGCAGCAACTCAGAATGGTCCTCAGTAGTTTGTATGGCCCCCACGTGCTTGTATGCATGCCTGACAACGTCGGGGGGGGGGGGGGGGAGGCTCCTAATGAGACCATGGATTGTGTCCTTGGGGATTTCCTCCCAGATCTGGACCAGGGCATCACTGAGCTCCTGGACAGTCTGATGGCATCAGATGGACCGAAAGGTGTTCTATTGGATTTCAGGAGAGCGTGGGGGCCATTCAATGGTATCAATTCCTTAATCCTCCAGGAACTGCCTGCATATTATCCCTACATGAGGCCAGGCATTGTCATGTACCAGAACCCACTGCACCAGGAGGAACCCAGGACCCACTGCACCAGCATAGGGTCTGACAATGGGTCCAAAGTTTTCATCCCCATACCTAAATGGCAGTCAGGGTCCATTGTCTAGCCTGTAGAGGTCTATGCGTCCCTCCATGGATATGCTTCTCCAGACCATCACTGACCCACCACCAAAACGGTCATGCTGAACCATGTTACAGGCAGCAGAATGTTCTCCACGACTTCTCCAGACCCTTTCACGTCTGTCACATGTGCTCAGGGGGAACCTGCTCTCATCTGTGAAAAGCACAGGGCGCCAGTGGTGGACCGGCCAATTCTGGGGTTCAATGGCAAATGCCAATCCAGCTCTATGGTGCTGGGCAGTGAGTACAGGGCCCACTAGAGGACGTCGGGCCCTCAGGCCACCCTCATGAAGTCTGTTTCTGATTGTTTGGTCAGAGACATTCCCACCAGTGGCCTGCTGGAGGTCATTTTGTAGGGCTCTGGCAGGGCTCATCCTGTTCCTCCTTGCACAAAGGAGCAGATACTGGTCCTGCTGATGGGTTAAGGACCTTCTACGGCCCTGTCCAGCTCTCCTAGAATAACTGCCTGTGTCCTGGAATCTCCTCCATGTTCTTGAGACTGTGCTGGGAGACACAGCAAACCTTAAGGCAATGGCAGGTATTGATGTGCCATCCTGGAGGAGTTGGACTGCCTGTGCAACCCCTGTAGGGTCCAAGTATGGCCTCATGCTACCAGTAGTGACACTGACCCGAGCCAAATGCAAAATGAGTAAAAAACAGTCAGAAAAGATGAGTAGGGAAAAAATGTCAGCGGCCTCCACCTGTAAAACCATTCCTGTTTTGTGGGATCGTCTCATCGTTGCCCATCTAGTGCACCTGTTGGTAATTTCATGAACACCAAAGCAGCTGAAACTGATGAACAACCCCCTCTGCTACTTACCTGACCAGATCCATATCCCAGGAGTGTCACTGACTTGATGCGACTCGGATTACAAAGTCTGCCGTTCATTTTCTTGAGCCGTGTATATACACTCCAATCATTTTGATGACATTTGTGCCTGCAATGCAATGTTTAATTTTAGCAATTACATACCTGTGAAAAATTCCCATCAACCCAACTTAATCATGAATGCAATCTGAATGTTATCAAAGAGAAAAATTCATTTGTGATGGATCAATATAGAGAATCTGAATGTTATGCTAACAATTTTCACAAAGTTCCTCCACCCCAAACTGGCTTCTCCATGTCTTTATGGACCTTGCTTTGTGCACTGGTGCGCAGTCATGTTGGAACAGGAAGGGAGTTGGGAGCATGAAATTGTCCAAAATGTTGCCTTAAGAGTTCCCTTCACTGGAATTAGGGGGCCAAGCCCAACCCCTGAAAAACAACCCCACACCATAATCCCCCCTCCACCAAACTTTACACTTGGCACAATGCAGTCAGGCAAGTACTGTTCTCCTGCCAACCACCAAACCCAGACACATCCATCGGATTGCCAGACAGAGAAGCGTGATTGGTCACTCTAGAGAACATGTCGCCCCTGCTCTAGAGTCCAGTGGCGGCGTGCTTTACACCACAGCATCTGACGCTTTGCATTGCACTTGGTGATGGAAGGCTTGGATGCAGCTGCTCGGCCATGGAATCCCATTCCAGGAAGCTCTCTACGCACTGTTGTTGGGCTCATCTGAAGGCCACACCAAGTTTGGAGGTCTTTAGCTATTGACTCTGCAGACAGTTGGCGACTTCTGCGCACTGTGCGCTTCAGCATGCGCTGACCCCGCCCTGTCACGTGACGTGGCCTACCACTTGGTGGCTGAGTGGCTGTTGTTCCCAGTGGCTTCCACTTTGTTATAATCCCACTAACAGTTGAGCATGGAATATTTAGTAGCCAGGAAATGTCACGGATGGACTTATTGCACAGGTGGCCACCTATCACGGGACCACGCTTGGAGTCACTGAGCTCCTGAGAGCGACCCATTCTTTCACCAATGTTTGTAGAAGCAGTCTGCATGCCTAGGGGCTTGATTGTATACACCTGTGTCCATGGAGGGGATTGGAACACCTGAATCACATGATTAGGAGGGGATTGGAAGACCTGAATCACATGATTGGAGGGGATTGGAAGACCTGAATCACATGATTGGTAGGGGATTGAAACACCTGAATCACATGATATGGAGGGGATTGGAACACCTGAATCACATGATATGGAGGGGATTGGAACACCTGAATCACATGATTGGGAGGGATTGGAACACCTGAATCACATGATTGGGAGGGAATTGGAATACCTGAATCACATGACTGGGAGGGGATTGGAACACCTGAATCACATGATATGGAGGGGATTGGAACACCTGAATCACATGACTGGGAGGGGATTGGAACACCTGAATCACATGATTGGAAGGGGATTGGAACACCTGAATCACATAACTGGGAGGGGATTGGAACACCTGAATCACATGATATGGAGGGGATTGGAACACTGATTGGGAGGGGATTGGAACACCTGAATCACATGATTGGGAGGGGATTGGAACACCTGAATCACATGATTGGGAGGGGATTGGAACACCTGAATCACATGATTGGAGGGGATTGGAAAACTGAATCATATGATTGGGAGGGGATTGGAACATCTGAATCACATGATTGGGATGAATCACATGACTGGGAGGGGATTGGAACACCTGAATCACATGATTGGAGGGGATTGGAACATCTGAATCACATGATTGGGAGGGGATTGGAACACCTGAATCACATGACTGGGAGGGGATTGGAACACCTGAATCACATGACTGGAGGGGATTGGAACACCTGAATCACATGACTGGAGGGGATTGGAACACCTGAATCATGATTAGGAGGGGATTGGAACATCTGAATCACATGACAGGGGATTGGAACACCTGAATTGATTGGAGGGGATTGGAACACCTGAATCACATGATTGGGAGGGGCAATACAGTGTATATATATATATATATACACACACACATCACCATTTCCTGGGTAGGGGGCACTAGAGCGCCTGCCGCCTCGGCTGTGCTGTGATTTGGCACAGCACAAGCTGATCAGTGGGTCGCAGACAAGGATTTTTGGCCGGGAGAAGCTGATTTGCTGAATAGTATTATAACTGATCCCTGTATCAGTGTCACTGGAGATGTCAGTTAGTCAGTTCCCTCAAAGTGCAAGTTCGTGTCAGATTGCACTATCACAGTCCCACTATAACTCGCTGAACACGGCTCTAACTAGTATTAAAAAAAAAAAAAAACCAATATATATACCGTCATTTGTATCACTTTCACACAAACCAATGAATATACATTTATTGAGATTTTGTTTTTTTTTTTTACCAAAGACAGAATACATTTTGATCTAAAATTTATTAAGAAATTTGATTTTTTTTTTCCAGATATGTTTTATAGCAGAAAGAAAAAAAAAACTTTCAAAACGTTCGGTCTTTTTAAAATTTTTTAAAAAAAACTTTTTTTAAAAAACCGGTGGGGATCAAATACCACAAAAAGAAAGCTCTAATTGTGTGGAAAAAAAGCTAAAAAATGCATTTGAGTACAGTGTTGCATGACCGCGCAATTACCAGTGAAAGTAGCGCAGTGCCAGATAGCAAAAGAAAATGCTGGCTAGGAAGGGGGTTAAACCTTCTGGAGCCTATGAAGCCCAGGCTGCCCCACCCCCCCCCTGCAAAAAAATGGGATATAGTTTGTTAAACTGCAAAGCCTAAAAGATACAATATTGCGGATACAGCAGAAAAAAGACTCTCTGGGAGCCCTGAAGGGGTTAACAATAAAACATAAGTATTGCTTTCTATGGGAGGCGATTTTGAGCAACTTCATCTATTTTGTAAATTCGTTTCATTTCCGTCTTTGTGTCAGCGATTTTCCTCTGTATAATGAGGAGGAGGAAATTAAAAAAAAAACACACCAAAAAAAAAAAAAAATCATAGAAGCAGCCGCCAGGACAGAACGTAAAGTTGGTATCAAAGCCGAGATTCCTGGGAGACGGATAATGAACTCCTCCGGGGGTTGTTTTGCTTTTTTCTCATTATTGTATTCTGAGGTCTTTCTGACAAGTTGCAAATCTCTGCCGAGTCCTACGGAGACCCCGATGTGCGTTCCTGACAACCCCGACGTGCGTTCCTGACAACCCCGACGTGCGTTCCTGACAACCCCGACGTGCGTTCCTGACAACCCCGATGTGCGTTCCTGACAACCCTGACGTGCGTTCCTGACAACCCTGACGTGCGTTCCTGACAACCCCGACGTGCGTTCCTGACAACCCCGACGTGCGTTCCTGACAACCCCAACTTGCGTTCCTGACAACTCTGACGTGCGTTTCTGAAAACTCTGACGTTCGTTCCTGACAATCCCAACGTGCATTCCTGACAACTCTGACGTGCGTTCCTGACAACCCCAACTTGCGTTCCTGACAACTCTGACGTGCGTTCCTGACAACTCTGACGTGCGTTCCTGACAATCCCACGTGCGTTCCTGACAATCCCCAACGTGCATCCTGACAACCCCAACTTGCGTTCCTGACAACTCTGACGTTCGTTCCTGACAACCCAACGTGCATTCCTGACAACTCCGACGTTCCTGACAAAACTTGCGTTCCTGACGTTTGTTCCTGACAATCCCAACGTGCGTTCCTGACAACTCTGACGTTTGTTCCTGACAACCCCGACGTGCGTTCCTGACAACTCTGACGTGCGTTCCTGACAACCCGACGTGCGTTCCTGACAACTCTGACGTTCGTTCCTGACAACTCTGACGTTCGTTCCTGACAACCCTGACGTGCGTTCCTGACAACTCTGACGTTCGTTCCTGACAACCCTGACGTGCGTTTTTCTTGACAACCCCGACGTGCGTTCCCGACAACCCCGACGTGCGTTCCCGACAACCCCGACGTGCGTTCCCGACAACCCCGACATGCGTTCCCGACAACCCCGACGTGCGTTCCCGACAACCCTGACGTGCGTTCCCGACAACCCCGACGTGCGTTCCCGACAACCCCGACGTGCGTTCCCAACAACCCTGACGTGCGTTCCCAACAACCCCAACGTGCGTTCCCAACAACCCCAACGTGCGTTCCTGACAACTCCCAAAATGGAAAGTCACCGATTTCATTAACAAATGACCTTCATTATCGCACTAAACACTCTGTGCTGGAAACGTCTCCGTATACCTGTATACACATAGGGGCGCTTCATGTGACGCGAGGACGCTGGCAAGGAGCCACCCGAGGAACAACACTCGTGTACCCCAAAACTGGTGGTGCTTCTTCCTGCTTAACGGGAAATGAACGGATACCAAGATGAGAACGCACATCCCATAATAGTATGATTATGTTACTATTAACACCCTCTATTATTGTTGTTGTTGTTATTACTACACTATTATTATTATTTTTATTTGTAGTAGGTGTTTGCAGCAGCTGTAAAGGGATCATGCTGTATTGTCGGTTATTGTGGCAGCGTGCAAGAGGTTTTGATGCACATCATTATTACTTCATCATTATTACTTTATCATTATTAATATTTTTTTTCAAAAATATTATTATGTTACTGTGATAATGAGGAGGATGATTATTATTAGAATATTAATAAACATAATAATAACCAATACAGTATGATCCCTTTACAGCTGCTGCAAACACCTAATAATACTACTAATAATAATAACAATGTAATAATAATAGTGGAGTAGTGCGTGGGTTTCCTCCGGGTACTCCGGTTTCCTCCTGCAGTCCAAAGACATGCTGGGAGGTTAATTGGCTCCTGTCTAAATTGTCCCTAATATGTGTATGTATGAATGTGAGTTAGGGACCTTAGATTGTACGCTCCTCGGGGGCGGGGACTGATGTGAATGTACAATATATATATAAAGTGCTGCGTAAATTGACGGCGCTATATAAGTACCTGAAATAAATAACAGTAGCAGTAGTAATAATATTAATACTGCTGGTACTGCTCCACTATTATTAATATTACTTTGTTGTTGTTAATATTATTATGGTTATTCCACTGATATTTTTATCTGTTGGTTTTTCTTCCTGCTGAAATTAACAGATACCAAGATGTGCCTCTAACATAGAGAACGCACATCCCATAATATTATCATTAGGTTACTATGAACACCCTGTATTATTATTATTATTATTACTGCTATTACTCCACTATTATTACCCGCATGCCGCCCACTCACTGTACATATAGGGCAGCAGGGCGGCACTCACAGGCAAAACCACGTTTTAAGACGTGTGTTTTGTAAACAAATAGGGGGCGCGCGCGAGGCGCGCCGCCGCCCTATTTGTCCCGCGGTTCTCTGCCGCAGATGTCAGTCGCCGGGTCACAGCTGCTCCTTAGCGGCTATGTCCCGGCGATCGGCGGCAAACAGTGACAGACAGCACAGCTGCAGTAGCTGTGCTGTCTGTCACTTCCCTGTCAGCTCGAGGATGAGCTGATCGAGAAAGAACAGTTTCTCTTTCTCGATCAGCCTTGTCCCGCCCAGTACACCCCCCCCACCCCGCCCCCTAGTAAAACACTCCCCTCACTCCTATAACCCTTCCCTGCTAAATAAAGTTAACCCCTTCCTCCCCAGTGCCATTAGTACAGTGTCAGTGTTTTTTTTTTTTTGCACTGATCACTGTATTAGTGTTTTTGGGGATGTCAGTGACCCCAAGTCAGTACCCCCCAATGTCAAAATGTCCGCCGCAATCCCACCATAAGTCGCTGATCACCGCCATAAGTCACTGATCGCCGCCATTATCAGTATAAAAAAAAAACCTAAAAATTCCAGTATCTTTCCCGCCATTTGTAAACGCTATAACTTTCACGTAAACCAATTAATTTACACATATTGGGGTTTTTTTTTAGCAAAGACATGTCGCAGAATGCATTTTGGCAGAAATTTATGACTAAATTTGATTTTTGCATTTTTTTTGCTGGACATGTTTTATAGCAAAAAGTCTAAAATATAGTTTTTTTTTCCTCAAATTTGTCAGCCTTTTTTTTTTATAGTGCAAAAAATAAAAAAATTGCACAGGCGATCAAATACCACCGAAAGAAAGCTCAATTTGTGGGGAAAAAAGGATGTAAATTTCATTTATGTACCGTATTGCATGACCGCACAATTGTCCGTTAAAGTAGCACAGTGCTGTATAGCAGAAAAATGGCGTAAATTGCAGTATCTATCCCATAGTTTGTAGACGCTATAACTTCACACAAAGCAATCAATATACACTTATTGGGATTTTTTTTTACCAAAAACATGGAGCAGAATACATTTTGGCCTAAATTTATAACCAACTTTGAGTTTACTATATATTTTTTATAGCTGAAAATAAAACTTTTTTTATTTATAGCGTGAAAAATAAAAAGCGCACAGGTGATCAAATACCACCGAAAGAAAGCTCTATTTGTGTGAAAAAAAGGACGTAAATTTCGTTTGGATGCAACATTGCATGACCGCGCAATTATCAGTTGAATTAGTGCAGCGCCGAGAAGGAAAAAGAGGCGTGGTCATTAAGGGGGGTAAATCCTCAGGAGGGCAAGTGGTTAATATTAGGATGTTGTTGTTATTCTCATTATTACAATATTATGATGATGACATTCGTTGTTATTATTATTATTACTCTATTATTAGTCAGCCCCCCTCCCCCTAACCATGCGGACCCATATCATTGTGCCTGGACAGTACCGTAACCCTTGTATGTGGTAATATGGAGGGTAATGACATCCAACGTTGTATATTATATACAGGTCATGTAATATTTAAGGAAACAAGGGGACAAAGCATCCGGAACATTCTGGTAAAGGGATATATAATGAGTTCTGTTCTGATAGAAAGCAATATATTTATATTCTC